TGGTGGTGCAATTCACCAAAGGCCTCAGGTGTTAGTGGCCATCCCTCCATATTGTGTACCTGCAGTTCAATCTTCCAAACTAGAACATAGAATCTGAATTCATGATTTTGAGAATTGAAAACCAGATCTGATATTTATTGTTTATTTTTTATCCCGCACAAGTCTCTCTTTAACAGATACTATCAATTTGGAAAAGTCTACAATCCACAACTAACGTTTTTGTTTTGTACTGACACACACATCCTCTGAATGAATTATAATATTCACAGAAAATGGGTAACGTCCTTTGAGTCTTCAATAATGTCTGAAGTAGGCTTGTGCTATGTACTTCAATATGTAGTACTCGCTGTTTGTCCGGGATGTAGGAAAATCCGATTTGTAAAGCTCCATTAAATTTGCTGAAAATCACGTTCCTCGCAACAAACTCTCAGAATTAATTATTTCGGACCATCATTAATTTCAAATAACTCAACATTTTGGAAATCATGAGTAATTTTGTTTCCGTGTACCTATTCGATCACGATTCCTTAATTTTGTAATATCTAGACTGATTTATAAGTCAAATGAAGTCAGGGAAGTAGATAGGTAGGTAGGTAGGTCTAAAGTGAGTGGGTCTATTCGACCCTCCACCGCAACCCATAAGGGTTTATTGTGGTTCACACCTATTCACACTCGGCCAAATAAACCCAGCTTCTTGACGAAGCCGATTAGTTTGTATGGTGGGTGGTCTTTCAGGTCAGATGGTGAGAGTACGGATCTGCCGAACTCCAAGAACCTGATTCGGTCCCCAGCGGGGCAGGCACAAAGTATATGCTCTGCAGTTTCATCATTTTCCAGAGAGGCGACACACACTGTCTTCCGACAGTCCAACTCTCTGCATGTGATGATTCAAATGACAGTGACCTGTAAGAAGGCCTGTTTGACATCGTAGTTCATCCCTACTGTATTCCAACAACTGTTTGGAATCAAGCTTCTAAGGGTGAATAAACGCCTTGGAGTGAACCAATCCTGGAAGATTCTGCCAGAAGTCCATAACTCTTCTTGCCATCCAGGTGTTAAGTGTTTGTTTGCAAAGCCCAAAGCGATGCCAATGACAGGTTCTGGTCCAATGAATTCGCTTGCAGCACCGTCTTTTGCAAGAGAGTCAGCAGCTTCATTGCCTTCCAGGCCAGTATGGCCAGGAATCCAGACCAGAGTCAGGGAAGTGAGGACAGGAGCCAATTGACGAAGATTTTTAATTTGGAGTCGTGAATCTTCATCACTATAAAAATAGTTTTGGGTGAAATATTTGGGATTCTGGTCTCATAATTATCACCATATGATATTCTGAGTTTCATGTCATATTGTCATATATCTAGTGGATATATGACAAGGTTCATGTATCCTCCCTAGAGGAGGTAGAACCACTACCGGATGAAGAAGTGAAAACTGCTCATCTAGGCGGAGCTTCGAGAATGAGGCTCAAAAAATACTTAGAAAGTGGACTCGACTACATAGTCGCTAAGAGGCTCGTCATAAGAGAAAACTTTCTGAAAAATCAGCAACCGAAAAAGGCCACCAGGCCGGTTAACGAGAAGAGAGCAGAAAAAGAGGCTGAGAAAGGTACGAAAGAGGCTGTAAAAAGCATGGAAGAGGCTGGAACAAGCACATCCACAAAACGCCCTCGCTCTAGCAGCAGCACATCGCCACAACAGAGCCAGCTGAGGAAGAAACCAAGGCAAGAAGGAGTTTCCCTTATGGGAAGGGGCAACCCTGAAGGTAATGGAAGGGGAGGATATTCCAGAAGCAATCGGCTGCACCACCTACATCCCGGACGATGACGGACAAAGACCGGAAGCGGAAAAAATTCTGCGAAGGCTAAAAGTCGCAAATCACGGGCCCAACACAGATCTGTGGACGGTGTGGGGTGAAACTCCATCGGACAATGGTCAAACTTGGGCGTTCTCGATGGACAGAAAATCCTTTGAGGAGCTACAGAAAGTCGAGATGTCTCCCTATTATAACCTAGGAAGAATAAAGTTCTGTGTTAAGGGAAGACGCAGCCCAAAACAAGGCACAAGCCGAGAAGAGGTCAAAGAACCTTCCCCGGGGATCGCAGAGATCCACGAGGAAGAAACAGTAGACCCAACAGGAACGAGCCCTCTCAAAAGGCAAGCAGCACATAAGACGGGTATTCCCATGGAGATGGGAGAAGCCTCGGAGGAAGCAGAGGAGCAGCTCAGTTCACAGAACTGAGCACAACCAGGGTCAGGGTTCTGCAGGCTTAAAAACCAACTACAACAAGGTGCTATACAAAGAAGGTGCAAAAAAACCTCGCGCTTGTATCGTATATAGTAATAGAGTAAATTGCACACTAATCCCGGTGCTCTGCACCGCTGATATTTTTACAGCTATCCTGACCACGCCAACAGAGGAAGGCACTAGAAGCTGGTTAGTAAGCTCAGCATATTTTCCAGGCGAGTAGATCTGTCCACCACCGCAATTAGGCGAAGTAATCGCATACGCGGCCAGGGAAAACCTCCAACTCATCATAGGATGCGATGCAAATGCACACCATATATTATGGGGAAGCACGGACATCAACACAAGAGGTGAGTCATTACTAGATTTCATACTAACAAATAGGCTATTGATAGCCAACGTAGGTAACAAACCAACATTTGTCACCGCAGCGAGGGAAGAGGTACTAGATATTACACTTTCTTCGGAAAAAGCATGTGACAATATAGACAATTGGCATGTGTGAGAGGAGCCTTCATGCTCCTCTGACCCCCCTCGAACATCAATCACTTATCGAAACCCTCAACCTCAACCTCAACCTCAACGAGGATCTCGAAGGGGAGGTGATTGAAATAGAGAACGATAAAAGCCTTGAAAGGTCAGTGAAAAAAGTAAGCAAGGCAATAATTGCAGCTTACGAGGCGAACTGTCCGGAGAAAACAAGGCAACACTTCAACAAAACAGTCTGGTGGAACAAACACTTAGAAATCCTCAGAAGGGAAGTGCGGAGGCTATTTAACAAAGCTAAAATCAACCAAGACTGGGCGGAATACAAGGCTACACTCACACAGCATAACAAAGAAATTAGAAAGGCTTAGAGGCGATCGTGGAGGAAATTTTGTGAAGAGGTAATGGATACTCCCTCTTGTTCGAGAAGCCACAAAGTACTAGCTAAGGCGAGTACTATAAACCAGGTAGGGTTCCTAAAAAAGGACGATGATACCTACACAACAACATTTGGGGAAAGCATAGAAATGCTTATCAAGGCACACTTTCCGGCCCAGTGGCAGTGTACTCTCCGCAAAGCAAGCCGAATAGGCCGAATGCCTCGGACTGGAGACTAGCTACTGAGATAACAAGGCCAAATAGAATTAGGTGGGCTATAAGTAAATTCCAGCCATATAAATCTCCAAAAGGGGCAGGAATCACCGACTGAGTGGCAAAAAGGCAGAGTCATCGACATACCCAAGATAGGGAAGGTAAACGATATGACGCCCAAATCATACCGACCAATTAGTCTAGTGTCTTTCCTGCTCAAAACACTGGAAAGACTGATAGATAGATACATAAGAGATGAGGTATTGTCAATAAACCCTCTCAACGAACGCCAATATGCGTACCAGTCAGGTAAGTCAACAGATCTGACATTAAACGATCTTAACAGGCTAGTAACAAAATCCTTAGAGGATAAGGAGATAGCCATGGCAACATTCATCGACATCGAGGGTGCCTTTAATAACGCATCCACAGAGTTCATCACCAAAGCTCTAGATAGAAAAGGAGTTCCAACCCTCCTGTGTAAGTGGATAAATGCCAGTCTGAAAACAAGGGTAATCATATCATCCATAGGCGAAACCACAGTCACAGCTAGAGCTGGCAAGGGGTGTCCACAAGGAGGGGTATTATCGCCCCTAATGTGGGCTATCCTAGTGGACGAACTACTAATGGAGCTAAAATCCAAAGGCATGCATTGTTTAGGATATGCCGATGACCTCGCGATTATCGCAAGAGGCAAATTCGCAAGAACTGTTTCGGAGCACACACAAACGGCTCTAAACATAATGAATAAATGGTGCCAGGAGGAGGAACTAACAGTAAACCCTCTCAAAACTACACTAGTAGTCTTTACAAAAAAGAAAGTACTTAGAGGGATGAAGCCACCAATACTGCATGGGGTAGAAATTCCAATTGCACAAGAGGCAAAATACTTGGGAGTCATTTTTGACCACAAGTTGACATGGAATCAACACCTACAAAAAAATAATCCATAAAAGCACGATAACCTTCAACTTGTGTAGAAGGATGTGCGGAAAAAATTGGGGTTCACAACCAAAAATGACCATATGGCTATATACCAGGGTTATCTTACCCAGCGTTGCCATCATGAATTTTAGTCGCAAAATATAATTCAAATTTTTATATTCATTCGAATATCGAATTCGAATGTCCATTATTCTATGACCATTCGACTACGTGTTTATGATTCGAATAGAAGATTCGTTTTGATGCAATAACATTTTTGAGAATTTAGTGCCTACTTTTATGGAATCTACTACCTTGTAGATAGCAAACGAGTCCAACTAACCAGTTTACTAAAAGATTATTTAGCTGTTTTTCAACAATAAAACTGAAATCAACTAACTCAGCTTCTCAACAATAAAGGTAAATAAGCTAACTTGATTCGAAAATACAAATACATTTTGACTATACTATAACTTGGATCCGAATATACGTGCGATAGGTCGATCTTCAACCAAACACTGCTACAAATAAAATGCTATGTTTTCAAAATGCCTGATAAAGGAGCATAGAAGCGTAAATTCGTCATATACGCATGTATGAATCTTAGCCGATAAGAAAATCAACAAACTATACTTCACTTTGCTTCCTATTTCAAATTTCCCGAGTGATATATGGGTACTTTTATTGCTGGACTTACTACAGTATGCATTTTCAACTTTTTACGAAGACATATGACCAGATTAAATTTTCACACTTACAACTTTCTATCTCCACCGTACAGTTTTGCGAATCCAAAGGATAATAATGGAGGTCCATCATGCAAGCCAAAGTTGTGGTGAATCGCATTCCATACGTGATCGAACCGTCACCGTTTAGCCGTACTAATTTATTCCTTTCTGTGACGTCGTGTAGAAAACTGAAACAATCGAGAGGACGTTTAAATTCGATTGGTAGTCGATTGAAATTCAAATGACTTCAAATGAACCACTATGAGATATAGGCGGGACGCTCACAAATGACTATATAAGTATCCTGTTTATTTTCGTATTTTATTGTTTCCTAAAATATTAGCGATTTCATCACTGATCATTGAACATATTTGATTGAATGCCTATAAAATCTCTTGTTTCATAAGCATTTGAAATTCTAGTCGGGGACTCTAATTGAATTGTTGCGGATTTGCCTTCAGATGTTCTGAAAGGATTTCATTTCTTACAACATGACCGTGTTAGGAATCATACGTTGAAAGATAAGACCTCGTTATTCCTTAGCTTGCACAGGTTTTGACTTTTGAGAGTTGTCGTTCGTAGGGGGGCAACAGCTGGTTAACAGAAAAACAGATTTTTTTAACAGATGATGAAACTCCACCACGTTACAGAATGAATCGAAACAATGCAACAATGCACCGTGTTAGGAATCACACGTTAAAAGGTGAGACCTCGTTAGTTCTTAGCTCGCACAAGATTCTCAACTTCTGAGAGTTGTCGTTCGTATGGGGGCGACAACTGATTAACGGAAAAACAGATTTTAAAATTTTTTTTTTTAATAAATTGATGGATGTAGCCGTTACTACATGGTAGGAAATCATAATAAAAAGAGAAATGAAAATTTCTATGTTCTTTACCACTCTTATTTAACTGACGTAGTTGCAGTTTCGTCCTATACGGACATTTTCAAACGTATTGATGGATGTAGCCGTTACTACATGGTAGGAAATCATAATAAAAAGAGAAATGAAAATTTCTATGTTCTTTACCATTTTTATAATAAGTGGTAAAAAACATAGAAATTATCATTTCTTATTTCAATATTTTTTCATTAAATGAATTCACGTGACTTGAATCTTTGAGGTTTTTGATTGAGGGGTTTCATTGTTCAGTTTTTTTTAATCAAATGACCGTTTGCATGTTGGTTTTTCTCTACAAAATTATCAACAATATAATAAATTACCCTGAGCTGTTAGTTTTGATCAAGTTAAATGTACCTCCTCATAGAACTCGACCAGCTACATTCAATATACATCGATTGATAACAACTACTAGGGCCCCTCTCGTTATCATGTTTTGAATTGCCAATAACCTCATAGCATTGATATACAGGCCGTTTTTTTATCATATGGTAACATTGCTATATTCTAAACCGTAACAGATACAAAGACGATTAAATGGGAAGAAAGGTAACTGTCATCGAGAACCATACAATGGTCGAAGAAAATTTACGGGGACTCTCGCCCTTCTCGAGTTATACGGGGAAAACCAAAAATGCTGTTTTTCGTATTTTTTTTCGAATGCAATTGTTATTTCGGAGAATATCAAAAAAATGGAAAATGAAAATGTTATTGTATTCGAAGTGTACTATGACTGTAATAATGAATATTCGATGAAACGTTTCGTGTCAACATGACCACCATCGTCTTTTTTTTAAATACGGATCTGTCTTTTTTATTACAGATATTGATAAAGCGATAAATTCACAATCCAAGGATATATCATATTTGTTATTTTTATAGCGTTTCATTTGAAATAACTACCATCATCAGTGACAACAATTTTAAATTAAGGTCTTCTTTTGTGAATTGTTTCGATTTCGTCAATATATAATTAAGACAACCCAATAAATTCGACAGGTAGGTACCCTACCACAATGAAAATTCGTACTGTTTCATTTTGGACGGTTTTGTGTTGCCGTAATCCTTCTTTCAAGGCTTATTTCTCCCTAATCAATTATAATATTTGATATTTCTATAATTCTCAATACTGGAAGTAACAAAAATATCAGTTCTTTTCTTGCCATAGAGGCAGGAAAAATGAATGCGTTGTTAATATCTGTTGAGAACTGTCAGACGTTTATGAACATATCAAAGATGTATTCAAATGATGGAAAAACTGATAAGCTATTTAGTTATGCAAAATCAAATAGAAATATTCTTTTGACAACGAATATGTATGTTGAGCTAGACCCGAATCGTCGTATTCCGGACATTCGAATGTTTAGACGGTTAAAAAGAAATTTGAAGGACTATGGTGCATTTGACAGAAAGAAAACAAGAAAATGTGTCGTTACTGGGAGTGTGAGGAATCAAATAAATGTTATGGGAGAGCCAATATTACCACATAAAGATTTACACAGTGAAAACTTTTTTTTTAATTCAGGATTGGCCAGTTACAAAAATTATGCTAAATAAGATTGTTTTTTACGAGAAATTGACCACGAAATTAGAGATTTCTGTAAAATCCACCAGAACTATTTTGAAAAAGATCAAATATAAATGCTACATGATACGCAAAGTTCATGACCTTAATGAAACGGATTACGGAAGGAGAGTACGATTTGCGAAGTGGTTAAGACGTAGAAATAGGGAAGTTGGAAATATCCATTATAGGTGGAATAATACAAATGAACATTTATATAGGTAAGAAAGGTTCGGAATAAATGTTTGGTTGGGAATTGTGGGAACAAACATCCTTGGGCCTTTCTTCTACGATGATCATTTCAGTAGTGAAATGTGTCTTCATTTTCAATTCAATGAATTCGATGGCTACTTAGATGAATTGCCACTGAATATCCGCCATGAAGTACAATATTTTCAACAGGACGGCGCTCCTCCCCATAATGCAACAATAGTAAGGGAACATTTAGATGCAATATTTCCAAGAAAATGGATTGGAAACGTTAGAGCAAATAATTGACTAGGTCGATCCCCAGATCTTACTCCTTTAGATGTTTGTCTGGGGATACATGAAGTATGAAGTTTTTTCAACACCAAGTAAAGATATCGACTATCTCAAACAAAAAATGAGAGATGCATGTATTTGTATTACACCTATTATGCTAGAAAATTGCCACAAAAATTGTCTGGACTGACAATTTATGTTCATTCAACAAAGAGGTCGTCAATTCGGGCAAACTACAAACTACGTTTTGAAGTAATTGACAGTGGGCGTTACTTATGGGATTAGTGTTAGATGAGAACTATTGTTGAAAAAAAGGCTATTGCTATTGGTGTAATTTATAAACCTCATAAACAGATAAATTGATTAAGGCTTTCGCGGTATAGATTTTCAGTGTTACGATGTTCGTTCGGGTTTGAAGGCCGTCGTGATTTGGAACTGTATCCTAACGTTTCGCCAGAACGAATGGCTGGCTTCTTCAGAGGTCTATTCAACCTGATGATTCACCGATGACTCGTGATTTGTAGTTCGTAAGCAGTATTTATGTTGACTCAGGTAGCCGGTCTTTCTAGTTGGTGCGTTGTTATTGGCCGAAGTGTTATTACCTGTTACATCTTTTAGTATGCTATAGTATGCAAATATGATTGCAATGCCAAAATTCAAAACAGAAGTATTCAGGCGGTCATTTCGGTACCAAATTTGTCGAAAGTATAATTCTGTCCCCAACCCCCTCAAAAAATTAAATTTCACAAAGTTCAAAACTAAATACGAGTATGAAGACTATTTGTTAGACTGAAATTAAATCAAATTATTGATATCCCGTAAGGAATAGGTGAAGTAAACTCTTCATGTACAGGGTGGAAGTGGAAGAACATTTTTCGTGATGTATTTCATTACGGACGATGAACGTCGCCCTGTATTTAAATCGTAAGTTGAATATATAAGTTATGTTATGTTATTTGTTTTGTTTATGAAATAATAACAGCGATATTATTATTATTATTATTGTCATTATTTAATGTTCATGATAAAATAAAATGTTTTTTTGTTTGATTGTTGTTACTGATGATGATGGTTATTTCAAATGAAACGCTATGAAAATATCAAATGTGAAATACCCTTGGATTGTGAGTTTATTGATTTATCAATATCTCTAATAAATGAAAAGTTGATAGTGGCCTTGTTGACACGAAACGTTTTACCGAATATTTATTATTCGAATACAATAACATTTTTCTTTTCCATTTTTTGATATTCTCCGAAATATCAATTCTATACTGCATTTTTGGTTTTCCCCGTATAACTCGAGAAGGGCAAGAGTCCCCGTAATTTTTTTTTCGAGCATTGTATTGTTTCCGATGACAGTTACCTTTTTCCCATTCAATTGTCTTCGTATCTGTTACCACATGATAAAAGAAACGGCCTGTATAATAAATTCACATGCATTTCCTTGGATTATATTTAAGATATGAGTGTCTAATGCTCATATTTGTGCTCTTACTGCATTATATGTACTGTAATTATTGAGCTACAAGTCAGATTTAATATATCCATGTAATATCACCGATTAGATAAAAGATAATTAATTTGTGAAATTTTTTCTCTGTTCATATTCATGATACATTTTTTTCGACATAGATGTTTTCAACGAGCTCCTTGTGACAGCTATAGAAACCTCGGACTTCATTGAATGAAATATGAAGCCTTGGTACATGGTTAATGAAATGCATGGGTATTCACATCTACATATATTTGGGAATAATGTATGTCTTCGAGTCTAGATACAAAAAATATTGGTATCTACGTTTTGAGATATGATGTTTTTTCGAAGAGAAACATCGATAAATACATGTGTTGACTTTGTTACGAATTTGTTAAGATATTGTAATCTGAAATGGAATCCAGAGTCTGTATTTTTTTATTATTATTTGAAATATAGGTAGAAGACTCAATAACCGTACGGCCATTGATATCCTTAAAATAGATTCTTATTATGCCCCAAATAGGCCAATTTTCTCTAATTCATTCATTCATATAATCATAATTCATAATTCATATAATCTTATTATAGAGATAACAATAGCAAAATCAGCTAAGAAACATTATTACTGTACATCCTTACTGTATTTTTCCAAACCGGAAAACTGTACACACCTCAGCAACTTTTGATGCTTTATAAAGCTCAGATCAGACCTTATTTGGAGTATTGCTCTCATTCAAGAAGCTCTGTCCCTTAACATACCCTGAAGTTGCTAGATTCCACCCAGAAAAGATCCATCTGCCTGATTGGAGACGCGAACATCGAAGAAAGGTTGGAGATTTGTCTCTCTTCTACAGATACCTTCACGGAAAGTGTTCAAGTGACTTGGCACATTTGAATACACCAAGAGCGGTACAAATCAGAAATACGAGACGGACTGTGGCTACTCATCGTTTTGAGGTTCAACTCAAACTTCACTGTTTAAGAACTCCTTTATCTGGAGAACTGCGTTTATGTGGAATAAACTTCCTGAGAACGTTTTTCCAAATGGATTTAATCTCCAGTGATTCAAATCCAATGTGAATCGCTACTTTTGCACAGGCACCGCTATGAGAGCGCCTTAAGGATTTTCCTGTAGTGCTTGTGTTTGTTCTTGAAAAAAAGTCGAGTGTATTAACAAATTGGACATCATTCCTCAAAAATTGTTGCGGAATGTTGCGGAAAAAAGTATTTGAGAAAAAAAGTGCTTTGTAGGAGATATTTGGCCAAGTTAGCTTTTTTGGGTGTAAGACCCTTGATTCCAACACTTCCATTGCGTTAGACTGAAATCTGGGGATTTTTATTCACTCTACAAGACATTAAGACAATGGTTATATATTTTAAAATGTATTAATGAAGACAACACGAAAAGTTTGGTAGTCACTTTTTATGTTCATTGTATATAACAACTACATGAAACTCATACTAGCTCTGAAGAAATGGGTGATTTGTCATTGAGATGGTAATTGAAAATTCTTCGAGATTTTCAACGTTTGAGCATTTGACTCACTTTCTAAAAACTCCATATGAGCTAGGGAATAGAAAATGATATTTTATGAATATTTCGTCGTTCAATGATATTTTTTCATAAATAGCCGTAGCGGTCATTATGTCTTTTTCTGTATATTCTCATAACCTTCATCTTAAAATGAATAGGATTATTATTTTGTACAAATAAAAAACTCACCTGTTTTTGTCATTAGCAAAAAAAGTGTCGGGAACCCAAATTTTCTCGGCAAAATCTCCCGACAAAGTCAAAACTTCTTCATCGTTACTGAACGCCAATCGTTCATCCTTCCAATATTGGTTCAAGTAAAGAGTGATGGTGTAATCCTAGAAAATTTATATTTTATAGGAAATAATTTCCTGGATCTTGGGGAAAATCGCACAATTTCTTTTTATGAGTACCCTATTTCAAATCGACCTAGTAACCGAAATTAAGAATGATCTTATGATGTTTGTGAATATACAGGGTAGGGCACCGAAAACGAAACATCTTACTATCATAACCTCAACTGTCATACCTCTTTCCTCACCCCTCGGTGACTATCACCCAAACAATTTGAATAGGGAAAGTAGTAAGTGTAACACATCGTTAAAAAGATAATTTCATGAGGAATACAGCCATGTCAATTTTAGCTACCTGACTTTCGATTTTGGCGCCTTCTTGCGGAAAAAAAACTGTTCCGTATTCCAAATTATGATAGTAGGAGAAGTACGTCCAAAATGACATATACAGACAAAACGAAACATTAGTGATATTTAAAAAACTGCGCGGTATAAACTGTCAAAAGTTAGCCAATCAAGAAGCACCTACACCGGAAATATACCATTGGACTTTTGAGAGCCGTTTAAAATACAGAACGGACGCCATGTTGACATTTGTGTTTTGAGGTTGGAAAGAAATTTGTTAGTGGTCATTTGTTTTTTGTTTTTCGGTAAGTTTTCTTTTGTTATTTTACTGTCCTATAATTTTATATTTCGAAGCATTTTGTGTTTGAGGTGATCGCGTAGAATTTAAAACATTATTGTCACTGCAACATGATTATTCTTCGAATCGTAATATTTTTTGAGGCTATGTACAAAATGACATACAACCACTATGGACAAAACGACATGTGTCATTTTGTCCGTAGAGAAGATAGCAAAAGGTTTAGGCCGATTTCAGCTAACATTTCCTCTTGAAATTGAGAGACAATTGGTTGAGCACATCAAGCTACTTGAAACTCGCATGTTTGGATTAACGCGTACAATGGTCCAAGAACTCGCTTTCGATCTGGCTAAAAAATGGCTTTTCACACAGTTTTAATAAAGATAAGGGTAAAGCTGGCCAGGAGTGGCTAGATTTTTAAAACGACATAAAGACATATCTTTACGAAAACCGGAGCCTACCTCCGCAGCCAGAGCCCAAGCTTTTAATAGACCTTGAGTAAGAAAGTTTTTTGATAACTATCAAGAATACATAGACAAACACAAATTAAACGCAAACCGGATCTACAATGTGGACGAATCGGGGCTGTCTACTGTCCAAAGACCTCAAAATATCCTGGCTACAGCTGGCAGGAAGCAAGTAGGTACCATTACAAGCGCGGAGCGGGGATCTAATGTGGATGAAGCACCAACTGGTACGGTAGGAGTAGCTCAAGAAAGCGGGTGGATGACCACTGAAATTTTCGTGAAGTGGCTCCAGCATTTTCAAAGCTTTGTAAAATCTAGTCATAATGATGAAGTCCTTCTTATTGTCGATGGCCATGCCAGCCATAAGTCATTCGAAGCTTTGAACTTTGCCAAGGAGAATGGAATCGAAATTGTTTGTCTTCCTCCACACTGCACCCATCGTATGCAGCCTCTCGATGTGTGCTTTTATGGACCGCTCAAGACATATTTTAACCAAGAAATTTCTGTCTGGCTTAGAAATCATCCAGGAAGAGTGGTGACAGCTCTTCAGATCGGATATTTATTTAATCAAGCTTATGGAAATACTGCTTCAGTTCAAAATGCATGCAATGGTTTCAAAAACACTGGACTATCGCCAGTTAATCCAGACATATTTCCAGATCACTTTTTTAAACCAGCTGAAACAACAAATATGCCAATAGCTTCCACAGCTGATAACTCAGACTCAATCCAGGATCAGAACCTTCCATCGATGCCAATAGAACCGGAGGCTGGCGATATTATGGCCCAGGAACAGAATAAGGCCCCTGAATCTTCATCAAAGCCATCCACTAGTTCTTGTAAACCATTTACTTCATCGGATTCTTCAGACGCAATAGCAGTCACTAATGATATTCATAACACACTGACTGGCCCATTAGACATTTCCCAACCATCCACAAGTTCATTTGCATCGACAAGTTCTTTAGCTGTTCCTGTTAATGTCATTTCTCCAGTTCCCAGTGGTAAATTTGTAAGTGGACAGGGTAAACGAAAGCCAAAGAAACGAACGACAACATTCCTACTTACGTCATCACCAAATATGGCAGAATTAAAGTACTTTCTACCCAGTAGAAACTAGACAAAAGTATTTTCTTTATTCTATATGCAATTTTTTTCACCTAGAAAAACTCCATAATGCATTGTCACCGAATTTATGTGAAATTAGCTTGCGAATGAAGTATCATAATTTGGAATACGGAACAGTTTTTTCCCGCAAGAAGGCGCCAATATCGAAAGTTAGGTAGCTAAAATTGACATGGCTGAATTCCTTACACATATAGTACTTTCCGTATTCAAATTGTTTGGGTGACAGTCACAGAGGGGTGGGTGAAGAGGTATGACAGTTGAGATTATGATAGGAAGATGTCCTCCTCGGATTACAAATCGACGTGTTTTTGTATTTTTTTCAGAACACATATGTTTTGAAGATATTCGATCTATTTCGTTTTCGGTGCCCCACCCTGTATTTAGGCAGATGTGTTTTCATTCAGATTGTAATTGAAAAAAAATATTCGCGAAAACACTTTAAAATGAAAATCGACGTCTCAATGAGGCCACCATCGTCATTAACTAGTTCATCGTGAATTGATTTATGGAGAACTGCATCATTTCTTAGGTATATCGGTTTTTAATTTCTCTCGTACCCTTGATTCTAAACATCGGTTTTTGATTCTTTTCGCAACCTTGATTTCCAATTCGAATATCTCCCTGACCAAAAATGAATATTGACACGCTCTCGCCTGAATTTGAAAAATTAGAGCAACGTTCATTGATTATCCACCCTCAACAATCAAGCTGTTCTTCCTCCGTAACTTTGACCCAAAAAATTTCACTCGGATTTTAATTATCCTTCGGAAGTGTTTGATGCTTCGGTAAGGTGTTATCGATACAGAGGCGTGCATAAGATTTTTGATAATTCGACTCAACATAACTTTTAATAAAATATCAAAACTAATGGAATGATTTCAAGGGAGTCAAGAAGTTTCAGAGTGAGTTTTGTAGCCCTTCCAATGTGTATTTTGGAAAGGGTCTAATCTGTGCCCAATAGATCACCGGAAGCTGATGGGGCGAAAAATAACTACTGATTCAGCATCGAGCATACGCGTTTGCTGACCTGTTCAGAGGGAGTTTGTTTTCTCTTCTGATACTGATCCTGCTTCGGCTGCTCAAGTTTTTGATGCATGGCAAATTCCTGAGGTTAAGGAGAACAGTTCAGCAGGTATCCGCATAGCTGCGAAAATTTAACTATGACCATATGTAGTTCGAACCCTGTTTCCGAACCCCCAACACACAAAAGATACGCAAGTATTACTAACCGATGATCACCCTACACACCATGAGGTAAGCGATCACTAGGTTCAAATAACTTGTGCAGTAAGCAGACACAATAAGCCAGAGATGACAACATTTTTCCGACCAAAATTTTTTTCCGTGTTGTGCCAAGACAGTATAATATTGAGATTCGAGAGTGGGAAAGGCTGTTGTTGCACAGAGCAATTCAACAAAAAAAACAGCTATTAGAGCAGAGACGTCTAGATGCAGTCCGCGTAGTTTGAGAAGAAAATCTTGATGTTTCATCCTTTTATACTTCTGATTTTGGTCGATATACGTCTTATCTGGAGCTAAAAACTTCAACGCAAATATCGTCTCACTGGAATAAATGAGAAGCACTATATCAGGATTCCCAGCCTTTCCTGAGGAAGGGGAATGAATAACTTCAATGAATTCGGGATTTCCCATTACCCACGACGGATTCAACATCCTCCGGAGCATAACATAACACAAGTGTCTCACCAATACCGTGAAAGTGCCCTAGGTGGTAATAAAATACTCAGGGGTTGAATAGATGGCTATTGTCTGAGATCGTATATGATGAACCTGAACCTGAACCTAAATCTTATGTAAAAAACCTCTATACACTACTAAGGTCGTTTCCGACCTCATCCCACTCGATTTGCGGAAAGAAAAGGGCAGGTGCCGTGATAAGCCAAGGTCTTCAATACTGTTGACCCCATGCATCTTCTAGTCTGAAGTAAAAAGGTAGTTTCTGTAAGATGAGAGAGTTGTGATCGTCTCGTTCAGTGCTGAAAACTAAACCAAGTTCATCGCTGCTCGGGCAGCTGGCTTGAAGAGAAATGCTTCAATTCCTGTTTTATTTTGGTCGCAAACCGTGCAAAAGAGGTGATCCATCTTGCTGGCTGTATAAACTCCCTCCAATATCATTTGTGTAGACACTCTAAGTTCAAAAGTCCATCTTCTCTTCATTATCGGGAAAATTATCACCGTGAAACTTACGATATGGGATGCAAACTCTCATGTAGATATATCATTTTTCGAGTCTCCACGTTGAGTTGATGAAGCTCCTGTGGAGTCCGCTTCACTACTTCGATAAAGGAAAGTAAGATCGGAACGGCAGGCATATTTGTAACCGTAACTCTTTCTTTCCCCGATAGTTCCGATGACCAGATCGGTCAAAGTTTGTGCTGATACTTGCCGCGGACAGAGTTTCATTTTCACAGAGATTATCTCTTGTTAGTGGCATTGTTACACCTCAAGATTAGTATACCTCTCTCTGGCATTCAATGCAGGATGTTTTGATTTTCTACCCTGAATCCATACCGACATCACCACTCTCAAAGTTGTGGAAGAGTATGCAATGAACTTGAATAATGAGTAATGGACGAAAACTACTCTTCAAAATCATAATTTATGAATACATTCGATATTTTTCACATACTCTATATCATTTATATGTGTATTTATTGCCTATGTGACGCAACATTCTGGATAGTTTGATCTGGGAATCAGAAAGTCAAGAACCTCTCCATCAATTCTCCATCCAGAGTAGATAATTAGGTGATATCGTTAATGCCGGAATGAGGTTCACTATAACCGCCAAATTGCACGACAATGGATTCATCGCCAAGTGGCCAAAAAATCTATAAACGTATAATCTGTAGTCCTCGAATGATTCTAAGCCATTAAACCATCTTCAACGGGAGCTGTTCGGAGCTTAAAGAGATACATAAGGAGAACTACTCCCCTACTTGGTCTGGAAAGCGACGTCTTTTACGTAACAGAATAAGTTCTTCAGGGATAAACTAGGCCAAGGTTGAATATTTTATGAATGAGCTGAATCTGCACTTCTTGTGAATTTCATATACGAACATCCTTTTTTTTAATTATTGTGAACTTTATTTTACTTTAAGAGAATTGTGAAATGAACCGAATAACTCAAGAACTATCTAAGGTGCTCTCTTTCATTTATCAATAATCATTGTAAATGCATATCAATTGATTGATTTCTATAAGGAACAACAAATACTCACCATATTCACTTCCGAAATTGCATCGAAACTGGCTATCGTTAAATCCATTCCTACAAATAAGGGTTCTCCTGCAAACATTTGATATTTCGCATTATTTTACATAATTCATAGGTGAAAAATATGAATTTCAGAAGTGTAATCGTTTTGAAATTAATTAAAACTTTTGTCGAATAACAGAAAATCAACGCTGTAATGCAGTTTTTCGTATTGTCAATCAAACAACAAAATGTGGGAAACTTCTAAAAGGACGAAGAACGCAATTACGTTCAAAATAAACCTTTTACAAAGATTTGTGACAGGGGTGTTATTCCGAAATTTGCCGTTGAAGATGATGATGTTTTTTGTAAGTGAAGTTATACATCGTAACTCTTTAAAATTTCACAAGATGTATCATTCCTTTGAATAATAGCTGAATCAATTCCATAACAAATGTTTGGAGGAAAAAGTGAATAGCAAAAAGTGATTTAATGTTCCTATTGAAGTAAATGTTGCGAAAGTAATTTTTCTTTCGTGTTCATGTGAAGGTCTCAGAGCCTGTAACTCAGTGGAGTGTTCTCTCCTGAAGCCAAACTGTTCGTCAGGCAGAACATTTCGGTCCTCGACTTCTTCATTGAGTCTTTGTAGAACGACTCTTCCAGCCAGCTCAGCAGACTAATCGGGCGATAGTTCTGTGGAAATAGCTGGTTCTTACCCTGTTTTGGGATCATAATAACGATCGCATGCTTCCACCTTCTGGGGAAGTGTCTGAGGGCCAACGAACTGTTTATAATATGCAAAAGGTTTTCGACGCAGTTGTCCGGGAGCCTCTTCAGCAACTTATTGGTTATTGAATCGACCCCCGGAACTTTCTTGGCCTTTGCTGCCCTGATGTAACGTAACCCTTCAGCTCTTCCACAGAAGCCTGACGGATGTTATCGTCATCTTCCCTGAGGATACGGTAAACCCGATCTTCCAACGGCATATCGCGGTCGATGTCGTCAACGTTAAGCTAAAACTGACGTTCTATCGTGCCAGCAAAGGCTAATGCTTTATCGGCGGGGAGTAGCACACTCCGCGCTCTCCGTGTATGGGTGAGGGAGCAGTCTTCTTCCCTTAGAGTCTGCGGGTGACTCGTCAAAGCTCGTAATCCCCAGGCTCAAAGGATTTCCAGAGCTCCTACCACCTTTCGTTTCGATGATCAATGATGGCTTGTTTAACTCGATTGGCCATCAAACTGAAGCTCTCATTTCTGCCATGTCATTTATAGTGCAGATTTTCCGCGCACTTTCTATAATGGCAGGTTTGCACGTGTTTCCCGCTCGATTTGGGTGACATGGCTTTGTTTTGGCGTGTGCCAGATCTTATCTTTGGTAAATATGTTCTCTCTTCCTTTCTGTTGAAATTCTCTTGGCGTTTGTGTATTTATATGGCTTCCAAATAGATTTTTGTTGAATAATGATTTGATATTGCTAGCCTCTCGGTATTTAAGGAAAGGATCATGTGTTCCCCGTCGGACAATGCATGTTCAGCGACTACAGACTTCTCGGTCCCAATCGGCAACTCTGCTTGTGCTCGACAAGGCGGGTACCAATGCTTCTTTTCGTCTGACCGATATGAACTTTGGCACAGTTACATGGAATCCTGTAAACTCCTGATGATTTGAGTGGATTTCTGCTATCTTTTGCTCATCTCAGGTACTCCGATATTTTCTTCGTTGGTTTGAAGACAGTGTTAATTTTTTTCTTCTTCAGAATTTTCCCGATTCGGAAATTCCATGTAACTCTGGTGAAGTTTATATCGGTCAGACGAGAAGGATCATTGGTAACCGCCTAGTTGAGCACAATCGGTGTTGTCCATTGGGACAGACCGAGAAGTCTGTAGTCGAAAGGTTAGCATTATCAAATCATTATTCAACAACAATGTATTTAGAAGCCATAGAAATACACCAACAACAAGAGAACTCCAACAGAAAGGAAGGGAGAACATATGAACCAAAGATCTGGCACACAGAATTGAAAAGCGCCAAAAATAAGCCATATCACCAAAATGGCGCGGGAAATACGCGTGAATCCGCCATCACAGAAAGTGCGCGAAAAATCAGCACTATAAATGATATTATATTGAAGATAACTGCCGCAGTTGAAGTTGAAATGTTTGGATATTGTAACCAACGAAGACTACGGCAAAACCCGGAAACCAACCAAAACATTGAGTAGAATACTCGAAAAGTAACTGCGCTATAATGAACAGTTCCCTCTTTATAAGAAAAGCATTACTAAATTATTCAACAATATGTCGCATGGTGAGTATTTCTTCAGAAAAACTAGGTGAATAATAACAAAGAGATTAACAAAAGTCAACGTTTGTGTATTTGTTGACTTTCAAATGATATCATTCTGATGTAGTATCTGATACACAAAATAATTTGTGAGAAATATATATTGATATATTTCCAAGCACTACCCTTCAATTTTGTCGTCAAAACCTAAAATAGATCAAGAAAGCATCTGAGAATCACAACCCCTGTTTGTCTTCTACTATTATATCCATTGACATATTAATTAGTTCCGATGAAGGCCACACGTCTGTCACTCGGTTACCAAACAAATATCACCCATTCGAGATTGCGTTCCAGCTTCAAAAAAGAAGATCTGTTTTCACGATCTCCTTTCGCTCAAGACATTTCACGGATTTGTTTTTCAGCTCCTATTAGCAAAGTAACTGCATTTGACATATTCATTTCCTCGATTCGATAGCTGAGATGATAATTTGATTATCCATTTGAATTGATCATTCTATTTCTCACACATCAGAAAAAAATTGTCAACGATGAACGTTTCACCAACAACTCAGATGTCATCAGTACACTCATTGTAGCTCCATAATGAACATGTAGGCACATATTCGAATATAAGTCAGGTTAAGATTTTTGGTGATAGGTTTTCGATTTTTTCAACGCTCTTGAGCGTTCTATACACTACACGCGTTCTGATGAAGGGCACTAAAAATAGTATATAGGGGTAATTTGATTAGCTTCGTGCAACCTTGTGCACATGGGGTAAACACGTACTTCGGATAGCGATCAACTAAAAAGTATAAAAACTATAATGGAGAACTTTATACTAGTGTAGAAAGGGCAAACGTTTTAGTTCACCCCAATAAGTCACTGCGTAAAATCAAAGTTTTTTTCACAAAAGAAAATATTGTATTTATCAGTAACTTGTCGTATTTAACAATTTTGACTATAAAAAAAATTGCTAAAAAATAATACAACACTTATCTTTACGTTTCGTAGGGCAAAATCTGCCTTCGTCTTCAGAAATGGACAAAAAATTCAAAGATATTTGCACGAAAACTACTCTTCAAAATCATAATTTATGAATACATTCGATATTTTTCACATACTCTATATCATTTATATGTGTATTTATTGTCAATCTTTACGTTTCGTAGGGCAAAATCTGCCTTCGTCTTCAGAAATGGACAAAAAATTCAAAGATATTTGCACGAAAACTACTCTTCAAAATCATAATTTATGAATACATTCGATATTTTTCACATACTCTATATCATTTATATGTGTATTTATTGTCAATCTTTACGTTTCGTAGGGCAAAATCTGCCTTCGTCTTCAGAAATGGACAAAAAATTCAAAGATATTTGCAGTTACTCCTTTTGATTATTTATATCTCAGCTTCTTCGACAGATGTCAAAAGAGTTTTGAAATGTGAAATTATGTCATTGACATATGATATCTTTTTAATTTTTTATCCATTTCTGAAGACGGAGGCAGATTTTGGCCTCATAAACGTAAATATAAGTATTGTATCATTTCTTAGCAATTTTTCTGATAGGCAAAATTGTTAAATACGAAAAGTTACTGATAAATAGAACTTTTGTTTTGTGAAAAATACTTTGATTTTACGCAGTAACTTATCGGGGTGAACCAATAATTTTGCCCTTCCTACACTTGTATAAAGTTATCCATTATAATTTTTATATTTTTCAGATTATGGAAGGTAAAAAATACCAAAAAAAGGTCGATGAAAAACTGATTTTTCCCCACACAACATGGGCTGAAAAGTCCCGGGCTTAGAGAAAAAACTTTTTTTTTTTTTTGAAAAATCGGCTTTATTCGTCAACGAAATCTCCATCAATAGCCACACAATTATTCTTGCGCCGCTGTAACGTTTCAATACCACTTTTGTAGAACGATTTATCTTTCGCTACAAAATAGGCCTCAGTTTCAGCAATAACCTATTCATGTGAGCAAAATTTGTTACCAAATTGGGCGAATACGGTGGATGTGGAAGCAGATCAAAGTTCAATTCATACAGTTTTGCCATTGTTTTGATTGATTCGTGACACTTAACGTTGTCTTGAAGAAAAAAAAAATATTTGCTATATGCGAACGTTTCTTTGCAATTGCGGCCTTCAAATACTCCAATAACACTATATAATATTCATTGTTGATGGTATTTCCCATCCCAAGATAGTCTATGAATGTTAGACCACGCACATCCCAAAATACCGAGGCCATAACCTTTCCAGCGCTTTGGACGAGGTTCATCAGTTGGTCTTCAATCAGATGACGTTCGTTTTGATTCCAGAGTGAAGTGATGGATCCATGTTTCATCCATTGTCACATATTGACTTCGAAAATTCTGGTTTATTATTTTCAAACATGGCCAAACACTGCTCAGAATCATCAAGACGTTCTTGTTTTTGGTCAACAGTGAACTTTGAACGGAGCTTTCACATAGTCAAATGCTCATGCAATATAAGGACAACACGTTTTTTGATATCTTTTCGATGTCGGCCAACCTACGCAATTTCATTGTTTGATCGTTCAAAACGATTCTGTGGATTTTCTAAAGTTTTCTGGTGTCACTGCCTCATTTATACGTTCACTGCGTTCTGTATCATCGGTGGCTCTACGACCACGTTTTAAGTCAACAAACCAACTTTTAATTTTTGTTTCTGATGGAGCGGAGTCCTTTCAACACGTTTCAAGCATTGCTTTGCTTATCGTTCTGCGAAATAACTGTGGAGGTTCTTCAAATGTTGGCAGTAAACAAGCAAGTCGTCGTTGTTGAAAGATCCTGCTGACAAATTAGGGAAATTGCGAAACTCACGTCTGCCGATATCATTCTTGTATAAGAGCAATTTGGCTACAAAAGCAGCATTGTCATTTTTTGTTTTAATCAAATTCAAGTCGTCACCTTCAAATTGGAGATTGACATCATTGAATAATTTATACAGGTGTGTCAAGTAAGCAATATCATTCTTTGAAGTGATGAGGTTGTCGTGCAATTCTTTGTCTTTGTTTTCCAAGAACTGTTAGAGAGTCAAATAGATTGTAAAATCGAGTCAGACAGTTACTTCTTGATAACCAACGCACTTCTGTGTGAAATAGCAATCAGTTGAAATTTTTATCACAAGAAACACAAAGCTGATTGAATAATCTGTCATTCAAAGAGCTGTTTCGGATTTCATTAACTGATTTGATGATATATTGCAGTGATTGAGAAAGGCGCTCACTCAAATTTTTCGCAACCTAATGTTGCCTATATGAATGACGCAATGTACAGCGGGCACATCTGGAATTTTATTTTTCAAGTACGCTATGAAGCCTTTGTGACGACGTCTTGTCATAGCCGGAGCGCCATCCGTGGCAATATTCTTCAGTGGAATTTCTTTCTCATCACAAAATTTGTCCAATTATATATGGTTTCTTCTTTTTTATCCGTCTCTAAATTTCTGGCAAGCAGTAGTTCTTGATATATTTTCTCATTTTTAAGAAACCTCACTTATGACAACAACAATGCTTCGTTGGTTGGTAGAGTGGAGTCAACTAACTGAATTGAGAATTAAGAAGTCTTCAGATGATTGCACAATGACTCTTCAATGTTTTCAACCATCTCATCAATTCGTCTCTGCACGGAACTATTGCTCAAAGGAATTTTTCGGATAATATCTGCCGCTGGTTTATGGAGCACAGTAGTTATTACTTCTTTTATTGCCGGTAAAATCAAATCCTCTCCAATAGTGTGAGGTTTACCTGTTTGAGCAATTCGCAAGGAGATATTGTAGTAAGCTCCGATTCCGTCGTTGTGTTGCTTAAGCCGCTGAAAAAAGTTTTGACACAGTTGGCTGAGCTGAGTGTTTCTTTTCCAGTTCTTGAAAATAAGTCAAACGTTTGTCTTTTTTATCTCAATGCATTTTATTCAAATGATCTTGTAGCCTTGAGGCTTTCATCACTTCATTCAAAAATATTTTTTTACAAAGAAGGCACAGGAGAAGATAGACTTGTGGGATTTTCAATAAATTCATATTTTATATATTCCGCGCTATACGGCTGTTTCTTCTTTTTTGCTTCCAACATAGTTTTGTCTTCAAAAATGCCGAAGTAAAGAATCGAGTATTAAAAACTTGCTAATGAGTCCACTCACAGTAGGTATTCACCACCGCACGTACAGAACTTTACCTAGTCGCTAACGTACCTAATATCGTCGAATGACATTACTGGCTGGATGCTGGATGGCGCGAGCGCTTTTATGTGAGGCAGCGGGCGGGTCTAGTACTTTCTTGCTTCTCATTGAAGCTTTCCGCCATCTATTGTACAGTTTGACAACTATCGGACAGGAAATAGTTACTGTCTAGTCCCCTAGATGGCGTTACACGAGGAAACGCGCATTAAGCGTAAAGGAGCGGTAAAGTTTGTGTTAAAAGCAAAAACACATTTTAAATTAGCCATCGCCACCCTAAACCGCTTCAACGCCCCCCAATCTTCTCTGTGCCCTTCACTGCCCTTCTATAGGCTTCCAGTGCCCACAAGGGAGCGTCGTCGCTCACTTTGAGAAAGACTAAATGTAGTACAATAGCTTTCCCAAGCAGGGCTGGTGAAGTTCTCCCAAATAATATCCATTTGTTACTCTAGAAACACTAGCTATCACCTACGGTTCAATCAGATAATCAAGAGAGGATATAACCTAGAGTTCAATAATGAAAATAGGTTGAAATAGGTCACCAGTGGAGGTGAGACTGCTCCTGAATGATGCATCATTCTTTGTTGTGTGTAAACGTGCCGAAAGGATGTTTGACTGAGCCCACTCAATATTACTAGTGGAACCTTGGAAATACCGGGCGTCCTCTTGCATAGAAAACCTTGTCACGGTAATGCAGGGCTAAGCTACTCGTGGAATCCCTGTGGGCCATATATTAACCACAAGTTCTGAACCTGAGTCTACACAAGGGATGAATGTCGAATAAACGACCCCAATTGTCTTCTCTGTAACAAGAAAGAGTATCTCAGTTCTCTAGATTCCGAACGGAATGCAAGCAGGTTGACCAAACGACCAAACTCAGACACCTCCCTGTTCACTGATTAGGAACTCTTTCACTTGGAGAACTGCGTTTATGGGAAACACAGTTTTTGAAAACGTTTTTCCAAATGAATTTAATCTCCAACGAATCAAATTCAACGTGAATCGCTTATTTCGCAAAACGCACCACTGTTAGAGGGCCTTGAGGCTTTTCCTGTAGTGCTTGTGTTTCATCCTAAAAAAAACAGCTCCTTCTTGTAACATCGGATCAAGAACAGAAACTTCACGGCTCTTCAACTTTCCAACAAGTCTAGGAGGCTAGATGGTGTATTCAGAAATCAATTTATCGCTTTCTCAAGAGCAGGATAACTCATGAATATGATTTACACTTGAGCAGCAGAAGCAAAATTTGCTTCAGAAAAAAAAACAATTTCTTCCTGAGTAGGTCCTGCAAACGCTCATGTACAAACAATGATCCACCCAAGAGATATCCTCATATGGGTATATTTAAAATCTTGCACTTCGAACATCCGAAAGCCACAATAAGGTAAGATTCCAGAGCTGCACACAATCGAAGCAACGGCTTGGATGGCTACAGGCTACCTGCGAGGAGCGAGAGAGCATCCTCTTTGCTGATAAGTGCAGTTAATACCGTGCATTCACAGGAAAGGATACCTACTTCCAAAGCCTCACATTTGTGTTGCTTACCTTCCTGACGAAGATAGTCGTAGACTGACCGCCAATCAGATCCTCACTAGATTCAATAAAATGTACCATGATCTGTCAACCTCGAAGGAAGTTATTCTTCATAAGGAATTTCAGGCCCTTTAGCAGAGCACGCATTGTTTTCATCGTTTGGCAGAGTCTCACTCTTGCCAGCTGACCTGGAAATGAAGTTATCGACTTCGTTGAGAAGCTGGATTCATTGGGTCGAGTTGAATAGGTGTGAGCCACTATAAATCCTCACGATTCACAGTGGAGAGTAGAATAGACCCACTTTCATGAGACCTACCTCAGTCAAGCGTAGAAGAGTTATTTGAATCGATTCATTCGTTCATTGAATTTTGGGAGTTTCTGAATTCATTAATTGTCCTCCTTTCGAGAAGATTGACTTTCAAACCTTTTTTCTGGAAATGAAGAGTTTTGAATTCATGATTGATTAATGAGGATGATATCGTACGTTGAATTAATTTTGGTATTCTGAAAATTGTTATTGTGTTCTTCAATTGCATACTTTTAATGTTTTTTTAATTTTACCTATGTGAAACATCGGCCATGAACAACACGACAACTTATGAAATCCTGATCAATCTGACACAAAATGTATGACTTTGTTATTTTTGATAAGCATGTAGATCTTGTAGATTATTAAAACATTTATTGATCACAATCTCTTCCATTAAATCCAGTTCTTTGCACCAAACAAAGAAACATCCACTAGTCTATTCAAGAAACACTTTATTGTGAGATTTTCACCGAACAGTTTTACAAAAACTGGATTACGTTATGGATTTTCATCACATATACTGTAAATCATCCTGTTAAATGCTACTACTACTGAATGTTTTTTGTCTGATGTGAATTTCAGTAAAACCATGAATTCAACAATATAGATTGTGATCAACAATGTTTATATATAAGATTCTTTAGTGTCCCAAACACGAAATAGTCAAACCGTGGAAAATTTGACCGATTTTGAGACACGGCGACAAAAATTACAGAACTCTTTTTGATCAACCTACTATGGAGATTTTAAGTTTCCAACGAATGAAAAATCATATAAATCGGCCAAGCTATTCTTGAGTTATGGATGGTGAAACAAACACCATTTTGTTTCATATGTTAGATTATTTAAAAAAAGAAATTAACAATTGAAGTAGTCATAAATAACAATGAAAGTGGATAATTTCAAACACAGATGAGAAATGGATGAATCCGACAGGCATCATGTTCTAAATGTACAATTCCTAATTTCGTTTTAAGAAAACTGATTACATAGGACACAGTATAAATCAACATACACTGTTGTGTATTTTGATATTCAAACTCTTTTCAAATACCACACAGAGCCTATACGATCGTAGATCTCAAAATTCTATTGTCGCTCAACCTGCTCTGGAGAATGATTTTTTCTGCGAGTATCAAAGTCTTTCACGAGAACTGAAAACAATTCACTATTGTACCACACGCAGAGTCTCATTTTTTTTATCTACACTCAAAAAAGCAGTGATGAATAATTAAAAGTTAATGTACAAGTTCTACATGTGGCTAGTAAAATTGAAGTCAAGAAGTGCGGGAGAAGTATATGATTCTAAACAAATTATAATTGCAATAAAAGTATTTCGAAAACCATGCAAAATCTTCCTTTCTTCCTTTTATTTCATGGATGCCAATTGGAATACCCTATATACAAATAATCTGCCTCCAATTCTAATAGCTTCACTCACCTAAAAAAATCGCTTTAACTCACCTCCAAAATTCGGCCTGAGTCTGATATCGTATCCTTCGAGAAGCTTGGATATAGTCTGCGTGACATTCTCCAATCTTTCTGACACCATATTCCTCTCAGCCCTACAACATCAGATTTCAATTATAACTCAAGTGCTCGACATTCGGGATATGCCCGCGATTCGCACGGACACTACGTTGAAAATGTATTCGAGGATCGGTCTCCAAATCAACTTATGCTAATTTTTCGACATTTAATCCACTTCATTTCTCTGAGGAAGGGTTTACCACTGATTGAAGTATGACAACATAAGGGAGCTGGGGATTATTATTAAATGGGGGTCAGTACCTACTAACGAGTTGGGACTGATTCTACACGTGAATGGATCATGAGATCATGAGCTAGTAGAGCAAGTTCTACAATCTACACTGTCATCGATTACTGTTTCCGATTTTCTTTTCTCTTGCATTAGAATTAAGCTGCAAAATTATTATAAGAGGCAGTTTGAAAGACACTTTTTTGTGAAGGAGTCAATGGATTGTGTGAAGTTTTTCGGATCTAGATCATCAGATAATCTCCTTTAGTGTACTAATAGGAAAACTGAAAAGTTCATCTTGAAAACCTTTTGCTCCTTCTCAAATATTATCTGTATATAGTTCCTCAAACAAAATTTGTAGAGGACAATATGAATGATCTAATGCAGTTGCTAGGCTGCAACATGGACATTTTGTTTTTGCTCTTTTTCACTATTGTAAAAATTAAAACTCATTGGAAAAATATACCTTCACAATAAATTTATTTTTTTCACAATACATACTAATTTTAAGATAGATACAGTAATTCATAATATTCGGTATTGCTTATGGAATGAAAGAAATTGATTAACTGATGAATTTGTTATTAATAAAATAGTAAAAATCAGCGTTAGGAATCAGTATAAGAAACGCTATATCTTCGAAACAAGGCGACGCGACGTGCGTTTGTTTTTTTAGAGTGAAAATACGCATTCTCATTCACTTTCACATTCATTGTCATATCGCAAGCGAAGTTGCATATAATTTTAATGTATATCTGTATAAGTGTTCAAGTAACTTGGCATATTTGATTTCACCAAGAGCGGTACATATCAGAAATACGCGACGGACTGTCGCTGCTCATCGTCTTGAGGTTCAACTCAGTACACCTCGAACTTCACTGTTTAAGAACTCTTTCATCTGGAGAACTGCGTTTATGTAGAATAAATTTCCTAAGAACATTTTTCCAAATGGATTCAATCTCCAGCGATTCAAATCCAATATGAGTCGCTTCTTTCGCACAAGCAGCTCTCTAAGAGCGCCTTAAAGTGTAGCCTGTAGTGCTTGTGTTTTTTCTTTGAAAAAAAAAACACTAAACAGTCGGAATCTCAATTTCCTATTAAAATTTTTGTTTTGATTTCAAACATTTTGTTTTTTGACAAATAAACCAATTTTTCTTCGAACGGTGGAGTTTCAAGAGATTTTCAAAGAAGTTCTCGTTTTGTAATTGAGTATCTTTTGAAACCAATGTGTGGTGCGGAATATTTCAGAATCAAACAATAGGGCCAAAAGGTTTTGAATAAAATGTAGCTTAACATCGAAAAAAATTCAGGATATTAGTTTTATTTTATAATAATACATCAAACTATTACAATGAAACAAATAAAACAGTGAGTTCTGCAAGTCATGAGACAATACAATTCAGCTGGATTATTCTGCTAACTTTGTATATCTGTTAGAATCAGATCTACAACAAGATCATAAATATATACACTCGCAGGAGTGCTACACAAAGCTACAATTTATGAGAAATGCCGTTGAAGATGTTATCTTATTGTCATCTGCAATTCATTACATGAAATTATGTTCCTTTGTTTTTTATAAACCGAAACTTTTCAACTCTTGTATGTATGCTTGAGTAGTAAGATTGTGATTTGAATTCATATCCAATTAATGAACGACAACGTAAAAACTAGATGACATGATATGTCATATGTATATAAAGAACTTTTTGGAAAGTTTGTGAAGTAAGAACGTGAGAACAAATATAGTTCATGAACAATATCACTATTTTCCGGGTTTGAAGGCCGCTGATTTTTGGAATTTATTCTCAACATTTGGCTCAGCTACGAGTGGCTAGCTTCCTCAGAGGGTTATATACCCTGAGTCAATATCTCCTTAGGTATTTTGGTGTGCTTATTACTGTACCTGGCTCAGGTGGTTGATTACGTAAAGCGTATTTATGTTAATTCAGTCAGGTGTGATAATTGCTATATCTGGATTGATTTGGTGAATTGTCAATAACGTTTGATGATCCTTTTCTACCCACCGTCCTGCTGTTTGCTATTTTTGTAGTTTCCCTCTCTGAATGCTTGTTCTGCCACAGCATAAACATCAACACGCTTTACGTAATTTACCTAAGCTAGGTACAAGTATTAGCACACCAAACTACCTGAGAAGTCACCATTAATCGTATAAATCGGAGATATCAATTCAGGATAAACGTCAGGAAGAAATAAATCCACGGCCTTCAGACTGGAAAAAAAGTGACGCTGAAAACCTCGGCCGCAAGAGCTTCAACCATTTTGCCATAGTTCATGATATTTTTACTTCACATTGGAATAATTCCGATTTGAGTGCAGCTTCAACAATAGACTTAGAATCATAAACAATATTATCAATTGAAGAAAACGGCTACAGTTGTTTCAAAGAAAAATAGCATCGGATAGTATAGGCAGATTAAGTTCCTATCTTGCTCTTATTTCTTGAAGTTTCCATTAATCAAACTGTATCATGTTGAAAAATGAATTAATTCATTCAAAATACTATCAGGCAATTGAACTGAAAAGCAATAATTATGTATGCGACATATGCGACGAAGTAAAAAGTATGATAGAAATAACCGATACTTGAGGAAAATTCTTTTATAATGTTTTTAAAAAACACTTTGAAGTGAGATTTCTACTTGACAGTTAGTGTTCCGCTAACATCAGCATATTCAGAAGTCACGATACTGTAATAATGGTAAAAAATATTTAATATTACTTATTCAATAATTTGAAAAAGTTCACCTATATAGATGAGTAGTATTTGAAAATGTAAAGACAGAAAGTTTCTTTAATAATGTTGTAAAGTTATCTTCGATGGGATTCGAGTTTTTTTCATTTTGTATTTGTCAGGTTTATCATTTGCTGGGATTTGTGTGTTTTTTGTTCTGAATTCTGAATTAAATTAACGAAGACTTCAGAATTCTGCTAGTTCATTTACGAAGTTACTGAATCAACTAATATTTTATTTGTATAATCTCCACATATTATTTGCGTTCCATCGCTCTCGGTTCATTTTTTTGTTATGCGACATATGCTTATTACTTATCAGTTAATGTACTCACCTGCTGATGGAAAACAATTTAAGTGCACTGATAATGACGAAAGTCAAAATCATTTTTATTCGATAAGATTGAAATCACCGCTTGTCACATCGCTGAAATAATTTGAATTCAACTAAAGAACAAATTTTATACAATTTGTTGACGCTCATTACATTTTATTTTCATTAGTAGACAAAAAAGGTTTACTGTACTTCGTTGATACCAAAACAATAGCCGCTGAAAATATTCTTAAATGAAACATTTTAATTGTTACGAGAAAAAATCACGGTTTCGCGAAATCACCAATCACTAAACTTTCAAAACATCTACTGAAATGCTGTTATGTAGGTACTTATCATCAGTGTGGATGAGTTTTTTCAGTTAAACTTGAAGTAAAGTTTTAATATCGGTTCAGTTAAGGTAAATATAGTGCATTATTGAAGAGACGTGCACCACACTACATTTCTTACTTTATCAAATGTGATAATGGTTGAGGGCGCATGCCCCCAGTTTTCCTGCGTTTGTCTCCTCCTCTCGTTTACCGCCGGATGCTGTACCAACCGACGCGACGTCGATACAAAATTAAAAATGCGAATTCACACCTGATCTGGAGCGGGATCAGAAATTTCGCAAATGTATTTTTTCTTTCGTATCAATGGCAGTAGCTTCACAATATAAGTTTCATTGAAGATTCGCACTATTGAATAGTGCCAAAATCAAATGCTATATTTTTATTATTTATCGGGTAACACATTTTTTTTATTTCAATTCACATCTCTGTATAAATAAACTATTTCTGTCAAATACAGATCCCGAGCTTGAGAGTTACAAGCAAATATACATACAGGTGAAGCTAATAAAAGCGTGTAAAAAATTAATGGAAAAAATCATTCTTGTGTAATTCAATGTTAATATAAAAGTATAGTTGTTTCGAAAGGACTTTTTGCTTCAGTGTTATTTTAATGTTCATGTGAAAGTAGGTACCTAATTGTTTCAAAAAAGGTTAATTCTTTCAATTCATATCTGAATGAAACTTCTGTACATGATCAAAACTTTTTTTGCAGATAGTTTATTCTGAAGTTTTTCTTTCTTCTCTTGAATGTTTATTATAGTTTTTGTTTAAAAACGGAGAATAAGAAAGCCAAAACGCGTTTTATCCAAAACATGTAAGAATATTCGGATTGAAAAATATGCTACATATTGACTATTCATGATGATAGTTACATGACCTGCATGAAGCAATTAGCTCCATGCATGTCAATTCCAAACTGGTCTGGAACTGCCTAGAAAAGCTACAAGAACTAGGTAGTCAAAACAGACTGTCATTAGCCTGGGTACCAGGCCACACAGGATACAAGGGCAACGAAGAGGCTGATTCACTAGCACGAGAAGGAGCACGACGCTCCCCCATTGACCCAGAACCCTTTTGTGGTACAGCAAAAGCGCTGCGAAAAACTTGTAACAGCAACTGGAAGGAAAAACAATTTTAAAAATGGTGAAATGAGGCGCCGGGTATGAGACAGGCCAAAGAGTTCATTGAACAGGCATCACCAAAATTCACGGAGTACCTACTAAGTCTGAATAGGCGATCAACTAGAGTTATGGTCGGGCTATTGACGGGACACTGTAGACTCAACAAACACATGAACACCATCGGACTGGCAGACACAGCCCTATGCAGGCTTTGCCAAGAGGATGAGAAAACCTCCGTACACATACTATGCTATTGCGAAGGTCTGTCAAGGATAAGGTTTGCAACATTAGGGGAGGAAAAACCATAGCCCATAGCACACACAATATACCTGCAAAGGTCGCAGTGTAGTGGCTGTTCAGCACAGAAGCCTCATAATAATCTAATCTAATCTAATCTACAAATTTTCACATTATAGATTCTATTTCTAATATGCATTTCACTACAACAGTAGTTGGTGGTCCAACTGAGGAAGTTATACTGTAGCGAAATGCGTATTGGAATATTGTCAAAATTTATAATTATTATTTTGAATATCATTATTGACTTTCACCAAGTAACGGGTCAGTGTATTAAAAAATAGCTTGATATTGAATCAATGTTGATAGATTTGATGAATCCGAAAATGTGATTGCAATGATTATAATTATTACACAAACTTTGACATACTCATTTTCCATGTAGGTTCACCAGTGAGACAAATCTCTTTCTGTTATAAGTCAAAAAGTTTGTCCTCACATTTAGAGCAGTATATCAGAATTGGTAAAATCTGCTCTCTACTGATTATCATACACTGCTGAGAAAGAAAGTAATTATTTGTAGTGAAAAAAAATAGAAACATCTTCGCCAAGTTTTTGATGATGTGGTTTATTTGATTGAGTTACTGAGTTTATTCGTGAAAGGTACTCGGTTAAATCAATATTCATTCATATATTATGTTGTGTAGCGGTGTTTTGACTTATATCTCCTACAATTTCATAAATAAGGAAAGCTTCTGTTATCGTGAAATGCGTATTGGATGAAATTCCTCCCATGTATGTACCTTGTGAAACTTGCACTTCTCTATATCACTGTTATAACAAATCGTTGTCTCAAAGTAGGAAATCCCTTCGTGATAGATATGTGATGGAATCGGCAGATACTAGATGAAATAAAATAAAAATCCATATCATATTCAAGAAACACGTGTTTCCCTATACAAATACCTTTTTCGGGCGTGTCTATACTAATATATTGTATAGCAAAACACGTGTTACATTTTGGTTAAATTGTTCAGTGAAAATCTCACAATGAAGTGTTTTCGCATTCTTTGTAATGAGTCTAGTGTTATCTTCGTATTGAACCTTTTCTATTTCAAAAAAAAAAACAGACGCATTCTGTTGTTTCTTCATCTGATGCAATAACATCTGGAAAGAATAACATCTGGAGTTCAGCTCAATTTTCTGAATCCAGTTTACTGTCGTTAATGATTCTTTATTTCTCCAGATACACCACAATTCTTTTCGTCGATCAAGTAGGAATCCAGAATGTTTTCCGGAGGGGCCATTGTGAGAACTTTCAATATTGAACTGTAAGAATCCATATGAATCAAACTCCAATATTTTCTTTTGAAATTCGACAGACGGCACAAATGAAGCTATTCCTGTATTTCCTCGTTAACATGTTAATTCTTCTCACACTTTGAACTCCTTTTCTTATATACAGAATCACTTACGACTATAACATATTGGGATTGGGAGAATAGTGTTCTCCTTCCCAGGTGCGCCTGGGCTGCCGGTCCGGTTTTGTGGATTAAGTGTATGTTCAAAATAATTAACTGTTTCAAAATTATGAGCAAGTTCGATTTTTTTTCCTTTTGTGGGAGAGCCGCAAACCCGTAGTATTAAGAGTAATAATCGATGATAAACTAGTTCTTCGGTATCTGTTTGCTCAGACGAAACCAACAATTACTGTCAGCCAACGATAAATTATCTTCAATGAGGCAAAGCCACATCCAATTATATTTCGTTATGGAGACAATAATCATTCGGAAGAAAATACGGTAGCTCCGTTTTCTTTGATATTAAATCATTATTAGTCATTTTTTAGTTGTTTATTTGCGATACATCAAGATTAATCATTGCCAAACTACATTCAGTGTTTCTAACAATCTTGCGTAAACGATCCATTCATTTCGACTGGCGTTTACTGCTCAACTATTTTAATCAAAATTTTAATTCGAGAACCCCTTTTTCCAACCGCGAATCGCGGGAGTATTACAAGTTGGAAGTTAACGAAAAAGTTTCAAAGCCTTTACGTTGCCACACCAGATTTCGAGACAGTGCGAATCATTCACTTTAGACAATCGCATTTTCTTGTGGATTATTGGATAGTCTAAGATCCGTGCGGTATTAGACATATTTACCTTTATCTATTATTTGATGTCTTACCTATGTCTAATAGTGAACATAACAGTGTTCCATGTGAGAGAAATGTTTACCTTCATTTAGTGTATTGTGTAGAAATCCCGTGAATGATATCTGATTCAGTTCCATACCGAATGTTTGTAATACAAGTATAATACTAGAGTTTTCTGTATAATTCAGTATTCATATAATAATAATTCAGTATTCGTTTTGAAAGAATTTTTCTTTCGTGTAATTTAATGTTTATATGAAAGTAGCTGTTTCAAGAATGATTTCTCTTTCAGTTTGTGTCTGAAAGTTACTTCTTTGCATGATCTACTACAGATCTATGTATGAAGTTACTTCTTTTGGGTGACTTGAATTAGACAGATGGTATCTTTGTCCACATCAGGAAAGAATTACATTTCAATCATAAGATCATTATCCTTGACGGTGGGCATGTAATTGAGTTGACTTTTGAAGTGAATGAGAAAGCTTTGGTAAAGATATTTGGGAATATTGAATTTTATGAGGATAAGTGGATTAGAAAAGATCCATACAGTAGAAAACCAACTAGAAAACAATGATTGGGAGACCCTTGAGAATAATAAAAAAGTAAATAACTTGAACAAAATCAGTTAGCAATACCCTAAAATAAGAATTATGCCATAAAACAATCCGTTTTCTTGTGGAAATTTTAGAGATGGCAACTCTAGGCTGAATACTAAAAATTTTAGATTCACAATTCACTTGAAAAAATAATAATTTCGATATCAAGATTTTGAGACCGAACAGGCAACAATGTGTACGAATAGATAACACCCGGAGTAACAATTAAACTATACGATATGGAGTTCCACAGGGCACTGTTTTAGGAACTATTCTTTTTATACTCTATATCAATGAAATGTTCAACCTACCCATTTCTAGGGATAAAATTGGCTTTGCTGATGACACGGTTGTTTTTTACAAAGATTGAGACTGGAACACTCTGAAAGAGAAAATTCAAAATGCACTACCAGTTTAATTCAAGTTCTTCAGTAGTAAACTTCCGACAGTCAATGTTGGAAAAATAGTATGCCTACCACTGACCAGTTATGAACCAAACTTACACGAATTTGATCGAATTGAAGTTAGAATTGAAAACCATTTTATGGTTCTGATGGAAAACATAACTGTTAAATATCTCGGCATCACAGTAGATAGTCATTTGAGGTTGGATGCTCACATCTGTAACATAATGAAAAAACTCCGTTTTGTTTTGAGTATCACGTATTATACAGGGTGATCCAAAAGTACTTTGACACACTTCAGGAGGTGATTCCTCACAATATTCTAATATGAATTGTCCAAATAAATAAATGTCCAGAAACGCTTCGTTTCCAAGATACAGGATGTTGAAGTTTTATTTTTATTTTCGTTTTTTTCGAATAACTTTTGAAATACTGAACTTAATTAAACGAAACTTGGTAATAGGAGGTTTTTGATATGTCGAATTCGAACCTGATGTTCTTATTGCTCTTACTTGAAGGGGGCGCCAGCTACACGTCTTTTTCTTTTTTAAAGATTCATAACTTTTTACCTGATGAATTTGTTATAAATAA